ACGAAACTATCGATTTGAAATCGGCTCACTACTTGACTAGCCTATTGGTCCCAAGCAAATCGATTAACGTACCCCATTATAGTATACATTCCAGTACTACACTATGTTTGTTTTGATTCGCTATGAAAGTTTGACAGATAAAATGAGGGGTTAGTGGATTTTCCTATGTTTCGAGGGGTGAATCGATAAGCTTGGGACCGAGGAGAGTACCAGAGCTGAGCCAAAAAGTTGAGCACGTTTCTTCGGGACCTTCTGGTCTTAGAGTTACCTCTATGGTTTTAGTTCGTACAAAAGATGCACCTTATCCTCGCAATCAGTCATCCATTGCCCACTGCCGTTACCTCAATCTTATGAGTCGAAGTACTACCAACAATCAATACGAAACTAACGATTTTAAATTGGCTCACCACTTTAGTAGCCTATTGGTCCCAAGCAAACGATTAACGTACCCTATGATAGTTGAAATTCTATTACTACACTATGTTTGTTTTGATTCGCTATGAAAGTTTGACAGATAACATCAGGGGTGTGTGGATTCATGCAGAACATGCAGGGGTGAGTGAAATAGCTTGGGACTGCTTGGGACCGTTGTTCTGGTACTGAGTGAGCCAAAAATAATAATGATTTTCTTCGGGACCCAGTGGTCTTAGAGTTACCTCTATGGTACTACCACCATAGAGGTAACTCTACCACTACTACTGCTAAATTCCATTCTACACCTAAACCCCTTAATACAATCCTATCCAGTACCTGTTACTGAAAGAATCCACTATCTTCTTCCGGACCTCGGTGACTTGTTTGTTTACCGGAACACCCACCTCCTTCTCACATCGCCGACGTATAGGCTTCCAATAATTCTTCCGAAGCGGTCATCTGCTGTCCGAAGGCGTCTGTACCTTCAAGACCAGGAGGTACGGTTTGTCCAAACGGGCTACTCTTTGCGGTACTGGTGGTACCTGCTTATTCAGCCAAACTCTCCCATGGACAAAAATTGTGCTTCCCTTGTATTGATTCTACAACTTGGTCCATCTCCTATCAGATATCCTCAGAAAGAAAACTAACGGTTGCGAGTAAACATATTTTTGACGTAGGATTACGTCTTTCGGCAACGTATTGGGGGTGCAATTTAAAAAAAAACAAAATCGACCGCGTTTTGAAAAGTGGTCAAGTATTGACCACTTATAGCTCTGTCAAAAGCGAATGGATATTAATTCTAAACAAGCCAATCGATTGAAATGTCATCTACGAATCTGCTAAAATGAACACTTTATCAATTTTAAAAAGGTCACTATTGAAAATTGCACGAATGTGTAACTTTTTTTTTTCTTTTCTTTTTTTTATTGGGTATCAAGCTGGAGCTGCGTGACAGCTTAGTTTTCAAGACTTGACCCATTTTAATAAATTTTACTTCTATCTTTGACAATACAGCAGAAGGACTAGCCTATGTTGGCCGCTTGAACACTGGATTCCGTGTGTATTGTTTCAAGAGTTATAGAAAAAATTCTGTGACGTGTGCGCGTAGATACATCCGCGTAGTAAACCGATTGAATAAGTAAATCCGTTTTATTATTATCATTTAAAGAGTGCCACCAAAATAAATATGATAGCCTATGTTGGCAAGTTGATTAATTTTGGTTTCCTCCCTAGATATTCTACTTATTTACTACACACAAAATATAAAAACTGTATCAATAAAAATAATGTATTTTCAAATTGAAAGTTTCTCATAATTCGTAGTTTTAACTACGAATATATTCAAAATGAAAGTCACGCTATGAGTTTAAAAGAACTTCTTTCAATTTTGGCTTGTAATTTTAAAAGTTCATTATTTGAAAGAAAAATTGTTCAACTTTCAATAATATGTGTTCATATCAACTTTTACTGGCAGCCCTGAACCCTCATTTGCATTTCCCGCCTTTGTCACTCTGACCGCTAGTGGAAATTAGAAGTGGCAAAATTTCGCAAAATAAAATATATATACTATCTGAAATCTAGCATTGCTGCTACCATTTTCAAGGTTTGCGTGAACATTTAGAAAAAAATGTTATTGTTCCTGTAAAGGTTATTAAAATTTTATTGAGTTTTTGTTGGATCCAAAAAATTTGATTGATTACATGATTTTTCTGCACAATTTCAGGTTACTTTTTTACCCTAGTTTTATCGCTTCCGTAAGTACCACTAATGGAACGTTAATCCGGATTGGTTCTGCTATCCAAGTCATATTGAGCAAACTGGAATGCTCGTTACTTATACTGACCAAGCCGGTCGTCAAGTCACAGCGTGGATGCGAAGGATCGTGGTCTACGTAGTCCGCACCAGTTGCTGTTGGTGGATGTTTGGATGAACTCACCGTCATGGACATTGATTTGTCCCCCTGCGTTTGAACAGCATAAACAACAGCAACTGTACATTTCTCAAACACTGCTGCTATCTACGTAATGGAGGAGTCCCGCAGGAAACAACAGCAGCAGGGAAATGGTCAGTTTGAGGCATCTGTCAGTATGTTGGGTTTGCAGCTTAATTTGAAAGACAAATGGGTGCGTCGATATGGATACATATCATTATGTTAACAATATTTTACATTGAAAAATAAAAACAGTTATTTAAAAGTTTTGATCTTCAGTATACAATAAAAAAGATGACAAATGATATTTTGATGTTGAAAATGCTTTTATTTAAATTAAACATATTTTATATATTTAAATCAAAGTGGCACATATGTCAATATAAGTATACAAAGCTTTAATGTTGAAAGTTTAGTTTGAATAAAAAATAATACACTTTCAAATTTAACACTGTCAATTTAACACTGTGATTTGACAGTTCTACAATTTATTTTGAAAGTTTCTACTTTTAAAAGTAGGGGGCACATAACTTTTGAACTGACAATAGGCTGACTTTTGTTATGAATGCTAACGACTTTCTACCAAAAAGAACCAATGCAAACTTTTAATTTTACCCATGGTTTTTTTAATTTCATTAACGATAATTTTTTGTGTGTACTGACCTTTGTATCAAATAATTACTTAATTTAAAGAACGTATCAATCATTTCAAGATTTCTATACTACATAAGCTCAAAAGCGTTTGACAAGCTCTACCGAATTGCGTATCACTTCTGCGTAAGCTCCGTAGACGTAGGCGCGTTGAATCCGACAGTCGGCAAAGGTTTAACCTGTACCAACACCGCTTAAGGAACGACCTCGAGTCAGTAAAACCAACAATCAATACGAAACTAACGATTTTAAATTGGCTCACTACTTGACTAGCCTATTGGTCCCGAGCAAACGATTAACGTACCCCATTCTAGTCGAAATTCTAGTACTACGCAATGTTTATTTTGATTCGCTATGAAAGTTTGACAGGTAAAGTGAGGGGTTATTGGTTTTTCCTATGTTTCGAGGGGTGAATCGATTAGCTTGGGACCGAAGAGAGTACCAGAGCTGAGTCAAAAAGTTGAGCACGTTATTTCGGGACCTTCGCTGATGATTCGCTGCAGAAGGTGCTTGAAATTTAATCAATTTGACATTAAACTCAGTTTAATCATATCGAATGATTAAAAATTAATCCTCTCTTTCTAAAAAATAAGCATCTGATATTAATCCCAGTTTAATCATGGTTGATTAGATTGTAGATTATCTTTTATTGAATAAATTTTAATCATTTTTGATTCTATTTAATATTTTTTTATTGAATTTTAAACTTTTTTTGATTATATATCAGTATTGAAAAAGAATAAAATTTAATACTGGAAATATTATTTCGAATTTAATCATGCATGACTACTGCCGAAGTAATCATGGCTCGGACTCAATAGGCCTTTTTAATGGGAACTAAACGATCGATTCAACCTGTGGTGGTGAATAGGAGAACGTCAAAAAGAGTGTTGTGAGCAGAAATTTTTGCCTTGAGACATAGGAAGCGGAACACTTTTTTACTTTTCCTGGCAAATTGATGCTCGAGAACTTAATAAACAGTTAAAAAATTTAATTCTGTAACGTTTTTGCAAAGATCCTGTTGGTGTTCAGGAATATTTTTGTTGAGAAAAATGGAAAATTAGAAAAGTGCCTTAGTGGTTATGCTCTTCCGGATTTCTTGTGTGTGAATAGTTAAGGTACAAATCAGTTCAGATCTGTGGAAAATCGTACACGAAACGAAAATCAATTATTTAATTCATGTGTTTCACTTATACATTTTTGCCAAAGCATCAGCCTTATACATTCCATAAGACAAACCACATAGGTCCTATTAGAATGCATAAAAGGTATGTGTGACCGCTTATACATTTCATTTAACACATGATCTTTATTAACTTTTTGCAAGGTGTCTGCTTATTAGTTGACTTATACATTTTATGAATAATCAGCAATGGAAATTTGCCAAAAGGTCTAAGGAGATTTCTATCCGTGTACAATAAGGCAATTACCGATAGAAATTGGCAAGATGTTGAATGAAAAATGCTTTAATTTGCGTTGTGAAAAATACTTATTCTGATGTAAACAAACGGTTTGGTTGACGTTTCTTCTCGAACTCGCGTGGCGCACTCTACGTTGGTGGTGCATTGAAAATAAGGCGTATAAGGTGAAGAGGGAAATTGCATACTTTTTAAGCTTTTTTGATTTAATTTATCTTTGAGTGTAAGAAGCTATATTTGCTATAAAAAAACTGTGGGGTAAAATAGTCTAACCCCGCTATTACAGAGCGTTGGTATGCACACTCACACATGTGCGCCGCAATCAAAACAAAAATAATATTTAAATATACCAGAGTGATTTGAGATTTAGGCGTAATTACTTTTGTTAACAAACACGTCAATCGCCGATTTCTCGCGAATAAAATCTCAATCTTGTAAACACACTATACCAAATGATAGAGGAATCATTCCTCACCTGATGGTGTTATCTGTTTAGAAGATTGAGGTTTTATTCGCAAGAAATACGCTATGGACGTGGAAAGCATACGCCCAAATCTCGAATCACTCCGATAATATCAAATTTATAATCGCTTCTCAATGCAAAACAAATCAGTACTAGGTATAGCTTACAAACTATATCAGCATTAAGGATCAGAATGAAATATTGCTGATTTCCCTGAATAAGTTCAGTGCCATGTTCAGCTAACAGCAAGTTATGTTCAGCAACCACGAGCAACTAAAACGCCGCACACCGAAGGACGGAATCGATCGACGGGAATTTATAACCCTACTTGTGGATGAATATTACGAAACTCCTAGTTTAGGTGAGATTAACGTCGGTTTGAATAATCTCTCATTGGAAACTAAAACTTGAAATTACAGCAGCACAGCAGCAGGTGACGGCCAACCTAGCAAACTTTGCGTACGATCCAATCAACTGGGGCTATCTCCGGCAGGCCAAAGCCCACGATCTGTTCATCGAGATACTGAACAACTCTGTAGATCCGGCGTTGCTGATCCACGCCGCAGCGGGAGTGTGCAACTTTTGCTTGGATGAACAAATCGGCGAATATCTTCGACGTGGTGGCACTGTGAAGCAACTAAGAACGTTAATAGAGAAGTACCCAAACAGTGGAGAGCTGCTAGGGCATCTTCTGACGACATTGATATATTTGGACAAGCAACCAATAGACCAGGCCTTTCGAAGGCTGATGCTCAGTTTGCAGCGAGGCACCAATAAGATTGTGGCAAACTTGGCAACGGTTTACCTGGAAGATAATGGTGCTGCTTCAAATAAAAAGGTTCCTGAGCAGTAGCTTTTCTACCGGTCAAGTGCTCACCTTGAGTCGGGTGTTTTGCCAAGCAGATTTGGTGAAATTTGCTGAATTCACTGGTGATCGGAATCCGATTCATCAGTTGAATCAGCAAAGTTTCGTGAACGGTGCCTTGCTGAATGCGACTACGGCTGGAATTATAGGCAGTAACTTTCCGGGCTATGTCGTAACTTCACAGGAGTTTAGATTTCCCAACCGGTGCCGCTTGGACGAGGAGGTTTTGTTTCGGGTGAAGGTCGAAGAAATGAGAAAAATTGTAGGAATTTCGTATGAATGTACTCAAGGAGAGCAGACGGTTTTTGTGGGGACGGCAAAGTTGTTTGCTGTTAGGTCGTAGCAATGTTTTAAATAAACAGCGACATCTTGTGATGGTGCAATGACTAAATACAAGTGTATTTTGTTCAACTCCAGTCCGATGACCTTAAGCTTGCAGTTAACTGATATGCTCAGCATTAGGTTGACCGTCAATGTCAGGGAAAAGTGCTTGTTAAACAAAATGCAGCGCATAGCTTGTATGTTTCTTCATGCACCAACGGTTCTGGTGGGGTCAGTTCTGTTCCAGTAGTGCCTCAAGATGGTTCACAAAATTCGCGCTGTGATTGTCATCATCAAGCTCGCTGTTCTTTTGAGCATTCTATGTCCCGTCGAATGCAATCGAAACCTAAGGGTAAGACCTCGCAAGACCAAAAACGCCGATCTGGAAAGCAACGCCGTGTCCCAGTCGGACAACGTTCCCTGTTCGTGTGCCATCTTTTTGACGGGACAGTTCAACAAGCAGAACCGATCGGAACCTCCCCGTGGCAATCCTGGGATTCAACTGGAACTGATGCAACACTATCCCTGCACCACGGCGGGAAATAAGCAATGTTCGAATCGATGTCTGGATGCCATCCTGAAACACTTACCCAACTCGCCGGCCTTGATCTGCGGAACCATCGATCGGGACTGCTTCCGGGAGCGAGCCTATCTGTTCTATCAGAATTGCGCGCCTCGCTGGGTCAATACCAATCTATCGGCTGGCAGGGAGTTTTGCTGTCAAAATGATCGACCAGTGCGGTGCGCGAAGATGGCAGCCGTAATCCGACAGTCACTGCTCACCGGCAATGGAACCACGGCCATCAGCCAGGACGAGGAAGACGACGAGGCAGGATCATACGAAGAATAAAGGGATGTGATATCAAGCAGAATCTCAGTTGCTTTTTTTTTGGTTACATCCGAAACTCGTCCCCGAGGGACCATGTTCCGTCAGTGAATTTTATCAACAGTGTTCAGTAATTGTTTCTTTTTCTTTAATTCTTACATGGAAATACACAAGCAACCGAATGAGCGCTTAGAACTGAATCATCTGTCCCTTTCGCTTCTTGTCGCCTCCCAGCTCGAAGTGCTTGCAGCGCTTCAGTGGGGTCTGCTTGCGGTACTTGCAATCGACGCATTCCATACGCAGTACGATTTTCTTGGTGGTCTTGGCCTGAGGGAAAGGGGGTAAAGAATCGAAATTTGATTAGTTGATTGTTTGCAGACCATCAGTCTGGGTAGTTCTTTAGAACAGTGATTGAGGATGATTTTCTATTTACATAAATTTACGGCTCCGGATTGCCGTTAACATTCAGCCACTTGAGAAACTCTCAATCTCTTAGAACTGTAAAAAGTTCAAGAAATGTTACTCCAACAACTCTCCAAATTACAATGAAAAACTTCGAAAATATCGATGACTCTTGAAACTCCAAGAGAACTCATATACTTTGGAAGCTTTTTCTATTTCGACAACTTCGTGTATTGGATGTATTTCGACAACTTCGGGTACTGGTGGCCAATAAATCCTGATTAGCAATTTCTCGGAATTTGAGTAATTTTCCTGGTGTGCGATATACATTTAAATTGACTATAAAACCATTAAACATACAATTAAATTAAGCCGAAGAGATCGCTAGGTTAAATGAGTTAAGACAGCAGCATTTTTCCTGGATCTCAATTTGGTTCTGCGTTCGAAGTCCACAAGCTCACGCAAAACTTTGGATATTACAGTACTTGTTCGCTAACTGGGTTACAATTGCAGTCCACACTGCCAATGAGAACGACCCAAATTTGAGTTTAGTTTACTCATAATCATCAAAAGTGCAGGAACTTAGCGTTGAGTAAATTTGCCTCATGTTTTTCTGTGGAAAACCTCAAATTTCTGCAGGAAAATGAGGAAAATTGACGAAAATTTTACTCAGTCTATGAGTAGTACCAATATACTGAGAGAATCTAATATTTACTTTTTTCATAGTCGGAATTTATTGCTTAGACAAATCTGGAAAAAAGGGCAAATTTACTCATCGCTTAGTTCCTGCACACAATTCCTCCAGAAAGTGTGCTTAATTTATTCTCGAAGTTCACTGTTGCTGTTCCTGACATGTCCTTAAGATCCTTCGGATCACATCCGAGTTCCTTAAGAAGTGAAGTCCTCGGATCAATTTACGGAACTTCCAAGTTATTACTTTTCGAAAGGATCTCTTCGAGACGTATGGATTTTTTAAATAACATTTTCATCTGAATGAATTAATAAAACCTAAAATTAATTCTCAGAAAACGATGAACAATCTCACTGACGAGCAAATTGAGCGTTATTTATCACAAACCGTAAGAAGATCTAATATCCACAAAATTCCTCAAACAATGGATACGCATGATTGTCCCCCTTCCCGGAACCCTATCCACCGCCGAAACTTACCTTCTTTCTGAAGATGGGCTTGGTCTGACCGCCGAAACCCTTCTGTTTACGATCGTAACGGCGACGACCCTGCGAAGCCTGACGTTCCTTGGACTTCTTGTACTGCGTGACCTTGTGGACGCGGTGCACCTTGCACTTCTTGCAGTAGGTACGACGCTGCTTGGGAACGTTCACCTAAAATGTGGCCGATGCAAAGTAAACCGAAGATTAGTGCCCATTTACAAAATCCAAACACCCCTTAACCTCAAGGAGAGGTGAATGTAAGCACAAAACATTTCACTGTTTTCGGCGGAAAATAAACGAATCCGGGCGAGAATTTTCACTAGCCGCCAGGTAAACCTGGTGGCCGCGATATTGCCGGAAAATTTAGCACAAAATCAGCACAGTTTATCCGCGAAAACAGTGAAAATTCACTTCACCACGTACCATTTTGATGTTCTCGTCGATTCAGTTACAAACGAAAAGAGAGCGCAGGAAACAAGAACTGTCAAACGCGGCTGTCTGTCTGTTTGACAGCTTCCGGTACGGGGAGTGCAAGAAAGCTGTTCGCATGGGAAACGATTTCAAGCGCTTTGATGCTAGCGAGTGTGCGCTCTGACGGTGAGCACAGCGAATGAGATGCGACTGCTTTGGGAACGAATAGTGGGAAAAGATAGAAAGTTTGGTGAAAATGTAACATTTGGGAACTCTAGATTTATTGAGGTAAATGCATATTCGTAATCTGTTTTCATATTGCGCGTTTCACACCAAATTGGACTAATAAGCGCGTTTTCACTTATTAAAAAGTGTGATAAAACTGCAAGTTTACGTCTAATCGTCTTGGTGTCTTCGGTGCACTTATTCCTTATGATGCAAGCAATAAGTGCTCCGAAGACATCAAAACTATTTGACGGAAACGTGCACTTTTATCACACTTTTTGCATTTTTGGGACAGTCCAGTTTCAGATGCAATCAGCAATAATTGAACTGAAATCCTAAGAGCAACCGTACCAATGAGTAAGTAAGGCACATTTACCAACCTCTACCATAAAGCTACTTGCGTACCGAGGGTTGCTATTCAGGTGGGGGAAATAGCAATCCACACCTTGGGAAGTAGTGAGTTCTCGCGTCACTTTTCAAATAGACCAATGTAACATATCCATCGTCGGAGACGAGCCAGCCAACGGCTGAAAGTCTCCTTAATAAAGATATATATAAAAAAAAAACATATCCATCATTTTGGGAAAAACGAAGTTAAAGTTCGACAGATTATTAATTTAACTGTTTAAAAACAATATATTATGCAATTCTATTTTTAATGTAGTCAGTGTATAATAACGTTGAAAATTAAGAAGAAACGGTAAAATCAAAATTTTGCTTTGAATTTCATGCTACAACATAGAAAAAACACATAGGACGTTTTGACAAGGTGAGTTGTACATTGGATATATTGATTATGTCATTGAGAAAAATCCTTCAATGTAACATATATGTTACATTGAAGGATTTTTCTCAATGACATAATCAATGAGTGTTACATTGGACGTTTTGTCTACATGATACTAGATTCCCTTTCACAGATTTCAAAGTATAGTACCTACACACAAAGAAAAATCGTTGCTAAAATTAAAAAAACCATTGTTATAATTAAAAGTTTGCATTGGTTCTTTTTGGTAGAAAGCAGTTAGCTTTCAAAACGAAAGTCAATCAACTGTTAATTCAAAAAAATTCAGCCATTCATTTTAAAAGTTTAAACTTTCAAACGAATTGTATTACCAACAATCAATACGAAACTAACGATTTTAAATTGGCTCACCACTTTAGTAGCCTATTGGTCCCAAGCAAACGATTAACGTACCCTATTCTAGTTGAAATTCTATTACTACACTATGTTTGTTTTGATTCACTATGAAAGTTTGACAGATAACATCAGGGGTGTGTGGATTCATGCAGAACATACAGGGGTGAGTGAAATAGCTTGGGACTGCTTGGGACCGTTGTTCTGGTACTTAGTGAGCCAAAAATAATAATGATTTTCTTCGGGACCCAGTGGTCTTATACCCCGTTCACATTACAGCGTATATCACGTGATATACGCTGTCTTGCAATGAGCACTCATACATCTAGTTTTCACTGGAAATCCTATGTATGAGTGATCATTGCAAGACAGCCTATATTACGTGATATAGGTTGTAATGTGAACGGGGTATTAGAGTTACCTCTATGGTATTACCATAGAGGTAACTCTAAGACCACTGGGTCCCGAAGAAAATCATTATTATTTTTGGCTCACTCAGTACCAGAACAACGGTCCCAAGTAGTCCCAAGCTATTTCACTCACCCCTGCATGTTCTGCATGAATCCACACACCCCTGATGTTATCTGTCAAACTTTCATAGCGAATCAAAACAAACATAGTGTAGTAATAGAATTTCAACTAGAATAGGGTACGTTAATCGTTTGCTTGGGACCAATAGGCTACTAAAGTGGTGAGCCAATTTAAAATCGTTAGTTTCGTATTGATTGTTGATGGTAGGTCCCGAAAAAACGAACGAGGAAACGAGCTCAACTTTTTGGCTCAGCTCAGGTACTATCTTCGGTCCCAAGCTAATCGATGCACCCCTCGAAACATAGGAATATCCACGAATCCCTCATTTTATGTGTAAAATTTTCATAAAAAATCAAAACAAACATAGTGTATTACTAGAATTTCGACTAGAATGGCGTGCGTTAATCGATATGCTTGGGACCAAAGGCTAGTCAAGTAGTGAGCCAATTCTAACTTCGCCCAAAGACGTTTGGATTTGGATGGATTGTTAAGAAGAAGAGAAAGAAATATGAAATTTAAGACGTCTATTCTACTCTAACCTTTCCCTTTTATCCTTGTTGTCCTCGTTATCACTCGATGGGGCCCTTCAATGATAGTGGCGGCGGTTGCTGGTTCTTACTGCTTCACGTCGGGTCCAGACACGGTCTGTGCCGAGCGTTTTCTCCTTCAACACTTCTAGCTGCGTAGCAGCGGTCCTTTGCTTTTAGCGGGGGGATGAGCAAGGCTCCTTTATCAGACCCCTCCCCCTCTCCCGGCGACGATGGTGACGAATCACCGAACCAACTACTCGCCGTAGATGGTCCCGCTAGTCACCGCAGTGCACTACCCAGATGAACGCTCCTTCGGTCCGGCCTGCTTCGTCCCTCCTTGGCTCTTAACTGCGGTTGCCGAGACTGGCTCTACTGGCTGAGCCACCGCAGTGAGGACGGCGGTGTTCAGGGATCCTTGGGGACTAGCCGGGGAAACGAAAAACTCCTTTTCACTTAGCTTCCCCAATGGCGGCGATCTAACACCCTTCACTATGTTCTGGCTCACAATCCACGGGCCGGCACTTTTCGGAGGAACTTCACTATTGCACACCCGACGATGCTGGGGATGATATGTCCAGCTGACGCACGCCACGAAAACCGCAATCTCCTTACTTTTTCCGGAAAATCAACGGACGGGGCAAAAACGCGTCGTACTCCTTTCGTGGATTGTTACTTCTTTTTGTTTTTCGTGCTAGCTGACAATCACGGACAATACAACAACCGCCATCGTTCCATAGAGGTAACTCTAAGACTAGTAGGTCCCGAAGAAACCTGCTCAACTTTTTGGCTCAGCTCTGGTACTCTCTTCGGTCCCAAGCTAATCTATTCACCCCTCGAAACATAGGAAATCCAATAACCCCTCATTTTATCTGTCAAACTTTCATAGCGAATCAAAATAAACATTGTGTAGTACTAGAATTTTGACTAGAATGGGGTATATTAATCGATTTGCTTGGGACCAATAGGCTAGTCAAGTAGTGAGCCAATTTAAAATCGTTAGTTTCGTATTGATTGTTGATCGTTCTCCTGCAACGGCGCTCGAATGTCATGCTGCTTATGTTTTTCGCCTTCTTTTGCAGCGGGAGGAGAAACGGGACCTAATTTTATACTAAATGCGAGACAATTTAAATCGATAATTTTTACACTACATTTCAATCCTTAAAACATGCCTACACGAATAAAATCTACTAAGAAAACAACAAATTAAAATATTTACAAACAAAGCAGTGGTGAGTATGTTGCCGAGAGTGTGACCAAAACAAAAATAAATCATAACAGACAAGGCACACGCTCATACCAAACACGTTAAAAGGGTGGGTTATTAATTGTCACCCTAGACCGAGGGGGGCGACTCTATCTACGATGCAGAAAAGATTGTGTTTTGCTGTGGCTAGCTGCACGCACGCTGAGTAGATAGAAGGAAGATTTATGTCGATTTTGAAGATTACCTGCAAAAAGATGAAGCACGATGCAAGTAAATGCGAGAAACGAAAGATGATTTTTCGAAGATTGATTCGCTAGTGTGAGATTTTTTGAGCATCTAGAATTGAGATTTAGATGTGTCGGCCCCCTCGCCCTAGACGAGGGTTACATCTTACACTCAAAGATAAATTAAATCAAAAAAGCTTAAAAAGTATGCAGTTTCCCGCTTCACCTTATTGAGTCCGAGCCATGATTACTTTGGCAGTAGTTACAACAATCAATACGAAACTAACGATTTTAAATTGGCTCACCACTATAGTAGCCTATTGGTCCCAAGCAAACGATTAACGTACCCTATTCTAGTTGAAATTCTATTACTACACTATGTTTGTTTTGATTCGCTATGAAAGTTTGACAGATAACATCAGGGGTGTGTGGATTCATGCAGAACATGCAGGGGTGAGTGAAATAGCTTGGTACTGCTTGGGACCGTTGTTCTGGTACTGAGTGAGCCAAAAATAATAATGATTTTCTTCGGGACCCAGTGGTCTTAGAGTTACCTCTATGGTAGTTATGCATGATTAAAATCGAAATAATCTTTCCATTATTAAATTTTATTCTTTTTCATTACTGATATTTAATAAAAAAAAATTCAATATTCAATCAAAAATGTTTAAAATAGAATCAAAAATGTTAAAAAATATTCAAAAAAAAAATCTACAATCTAATCAACCATGATTAAACTGGGATTAATATCAGATGCTTATTTTTTAGAAAGAGAGGATTAATTTCTAATCATTCGATATGATTAAACTGAGTTTAATGTCAAATTGATTAAATTTCAAGCAAAATGGGAATAGTTCAATTTATCAGTGTATGGGATTTTTCGGTGTAGTGAAAGGATAGTACGAAGTCCGCCATGTTTCACGCATCGTCTGACGTTTGCTTATGGATTTTACTAAAGAGCCTGAATTTATAAAGAGACGACATCTTATCCATTTGACAGGTCTTCTGCTCGATTGGAATGACTTTTCCTATGATTTTGACAGACAATAGATTGTTCCAATTTTGACATGTCGCCTCTGTATAAATTTAGGCTGTTTAGATTTTACCATAGGAGTAAAGAGCTACAGAGTCGCCGTCAATGCCAATTTATTAACAAGGTTTATCGATACTAGGTTGACTAGCAATATCCAGCTTTCCATGCTCGGTAATGGCGGCCTGTTTGTATGAATAAATGTATCCTTCACTGTGCTTTTTGACACTATCTGGAGGTTCGGATTTTTATCCAAC